ATCATTCTGATACCAGTTTAATGTTTTTACATTTCTTATTGTCAACAAATGTATTCCTGGCATGTGAAAGATATTCAAGGCAGTGGGACTGCAGCCCTGAGCTACAGGACAAGAGAGCAGAGAGTTGGCAGTACCTCCAGAAAGGTCAGGACACCTGCTATTTCTGGGACAAAACAATTTAATATCTCTTTCTTTTACTTTCTTGAAAGCTGACACTCAAAAATACCCAAGAATAAATACAAGTGAATAAGCATGGTGCTCAGTTTCATAATGTAATATTCATGCTTTTTCCCAAGCTGTGCCTGGAAGGACACATCCTAAAAATTGAATGTAACCACCCACACTGTGGTATATCAATCCACAAGTTATCAGAACAACACACACATCTAGGGTAGGAGATTAGTGAGTCTGCTTGTAGTTTCAATCTCAATAGGCCCTTTGTTGCAATTAGCTGAAATAAAAAGGCAGCTTTTTCTTCTAGAGCTACAATCCTTAGATGAATTTGGAATATGTATACCACAAATGACATGCTGGAAATTGCTGAACTTTCTCCTTTTATAAAAAGTGACAATGCATTAAAAACCCCACACATACACATGCGGTCCCACTGGGGTCAACATGGTGTTTCCCATATTTAAAATTAAGCACATGCTGAGTTGTTCTCCTGAAATTTGTCCTGAAATAAACTTTAACTGTGAACATTTTGCAGAATTAATTTTTCAGATTATTTTGTAGCATCAGCTAAAGTCAACGCTGACACAGACATTAATTCTACCTGTAGCTGTTGAGAACAAAGATCCTTCTCAGTGTGGAAGAAGACAAACTAGAACACATTATCTGCCATCTAATCACAGCACTGATAGGTGTAAGCAGAGCCTGACTCAGAGCACACAATGTAACAGCCAGTTTGTAATGAACAGAACACATACGAAAAATTCCAGATTGTCAGCCCTGAGAACTGGCATTCTTTATTCATAAAAAAAAGCACAGATCAGTTGGCTCCAACTTTGTCTGTACCATTCCCACTAACATGCCTGAACCCTGAACAGATTAATTTCCTTTTCTATAGGTAAGCCTCTTTCACTTCCTTGTTGGGAAAGTTAATGTGGAGGCCAATTATTTCCATTCATTTTATGATCCAACTGTCTTCCCCTGGAGACTATCTGTAGGAAACAGTATCAGGGAAGCAGTGTTGCCATTGCCTTCTTAGCAAGTAATGCTGAATGAGGAAATCATTTCAAAGAGGCAAAGAACTGAATGGAATTTATCCAGCTGACCACAGGGAAAGGGTTTAAGAGACATTTATTAACCTCAGAAGCATCATGCTGGTTTTCATACTTCTGAAATACAAACAAAAGAAAGCCATACAGGTTTCTTAATGTGGAAGTCTGGCTTGGTCATTCATTATCTGTGTAGTTTGATAATTACCTGGTTCCTAGGTAAATTACTTTGGACATTTACTCTGAGGTAGCAGATTAATGAAGTTCTTTGAAAATTTCAGGAAGTTGGAAATCTACACAGCTTCCGGAACAACATTTTCCAGGTCAGTGGAGTCCAGCACAGGTTTGCACCTCAGCTTGTACAGAGTCGATCAAAACCTTAGAGCAACACTTGTGTAGTTCTTTGAGTCCACTAAATTTAAATAGCAAAACCACTAAGCAGTCCAGTAAGCATGAACCTGTGATTTACTACACAGAAGCAATAAAGGATTTCGAAATAGCTGATAAAGAGCCTGTCAAGGTCAGTTCAACTAGATAAACCTCTTCTTTTTGGTTGTCTTTAAAAGTTAGTCAGAACATTCGTGAGCAGTGTGATATGCCTGGAATCGAAAATAGTCCTGACTTTCTGTTAACACTTGCTTCCTATTGGCACTACTCCATTGGCTCCCATGGATATTAGTTTAGAAGAAGAGACTTAGTGCATATTAGTGTTGTAGCAGCTTGGTTAGATCTCTCCACACAGTCCTGCACCTTAGCACGAGCTACTAAAGCTCTCCAGAGACGGGGGGAGCTCTCCCATAGTTCTGTATGGGTTCCTTGCACCATCATTCCCTTGGCAGAGACAGCACAGTTTTGATAACTGTCAAATTTGCTCTTTGTGTAACCAGTCACAGTTCTGGGTGCTGGGCTTTCCTTAAGATATGTAATTTCTTTTGATCATGCAGAGGTTCAAACTATTTTCATCTTTTCTCAAAACTTTAGGTTGATTTTATCGTGTCATAATAGTAGAGAAATGTAACAATCCCACCCTGGGAGGCCTCAGCACTGGGCATGTGGGAGAGGAACATGTGCAGCCTGTGCTATGGATGCAGGAAGGCTGCATTCACTGAGGTCTAATAGGATTATGCAGAGGGAATGGGCCTGTAGGCATGGATTTAACACTTTCCTGAATACCAGGGCTAGCCTGGATTGAAGGAAAGGCAAGAAGATGAATGGCAGAAAAGGAGTGTGGCACAAAAGCTCTGTGCTGCAGGGCTGAACCACCCTGGATTGGCTCACCCGGGATCCACCTGCCGGGCTGGTCCTGCCCCAGGCAGTGCCCAATTCACCATGCTGCCAGGAGTTGGGCTTTGCTGGTTCCCAGCTAAGATGTGGTTATAGCACACAATCAAACCACTTGGGGGTATCACAAAGCAGATTTTTTTCAGTGTTGAATCAAAGTAACTTGACTTTGCAGAACTTCAAGTTGAAGCCCACTGAGGATGTTAAGCAGAAAGAGGAAAGTAACACAGCATTTTTTTTTTTTTGCAAGAACTTACCATGGAAGACAAGACTTCTCTAATTGTACAAAGACATGACAACAAACTTTGAAAGACTATTTATAGAAAAAAAAATAGAAACTTTTATTTTATTACAAAATTGACTATTACCAAATTCACTAGAAAGGTTCAGCTAACGCATAAATTGCTTTACATACTGTCATATGGCTACATTGTACATCTCTGAGTATAACAGCAGAGGAAAACAAACAAAAAACCACAGGAGACAGACCAACAAATGCTAAAGCTCTTGTACATTTCAGAAAGTGAAAAAAAATAAAGTAACCATTCATGGTTATATAAAAAACCTGTACTTAAAACTGCATAATGGGAAAAATACACTAGTGACCATAAGAGCTGACATGCAGCATTACTTGCAGGGCAGTGACAACTTTAACCTTTAGATACAGGTATTGAAACCTCCACCTCTTCAAAATGTTTAGGATCCTGATTTCCTGTGGTCCTTTGAAACATACATTTTATGTTATTCAACTGAGGAAGTAACTATCCTGTTAGGATAATTGTAATTTAATATTGGCAGAACCCATAGGATTCCAGTGATTCTATTTATGGATAAGACCTCTCATGCAATAAAAGGCCACTAAGGTTTTACCAGAAAGGTGTGATAAAATGGCTTGTGTGGGAGTCGGAGGCATTAAATTCTCTGGGTATGAGCAGAGTATGTGGCAGGCACAGTATTGCAACCGTTCCAATCAAAAGTACTGGGCAGGCATCAGGAATAAATCCTGTTAGGTACTTTTGCCACCATTTCCCTTTTATTAAGGAAGTTTGTTAACTTCAGGGAAAGTACACTTCTTCCATTACCCTGATCTTTAGGCCCTGTTGGTAGCCTTCTTACAGCCTGCTGTCTTACCTCTCGGTGTAATTCGTGGCATTGGTGCTCTGGAAAGGACTAAGTGACTTTGTTTTCGCTTAAACTGACTTCTTAAAACTCTTCACCTCTGAGCTCATTGGGCCAGATCAGTTGTGACTGCTGTTCCCCCAGGTGTCCTATATGATACCCACAAACCGGAAACAAGTTCTTTCCAAGCCAGCCTGCTGAACAGCTTGAGGCTACAATAATTTCAGCAGCAAGAAGAACTATACATACCACTCCACAGCTCATTATCAAGCTCTATCCTGTACAGTCCCTCAGCTGCACTAAATTATTATATTTCCAGAGCTATATGAACATGCATGGTATTTTTCTTTCCTTTTAACAGTGCTAAGAACAGCTGAACTAAGTAAAAACATTTTTCCAATAAAACAGTTTGGGAGCTTTTCTTGGTCCTTTTTCTGGCTCAGCAATTGTTCAGGGGACGTGTGTTGCAGTTTCTCCACTGGTTGCCATAGGCTTTGACTTTCCCAGTCAACATATATTTTTTAAGAAAAAGCAGCAGTAGGATTGTCATCCATTTTTTTCAAGCTGTATTAAAGAGAAAAAGCATCTATGTAGTGATTGATTGTTTAAAAGCAAAATAACACTCAACAAACTTGAGTTAATGAAGTTAATACTGTTACTCAGAGTATGCCAGATGATTTTTTCCTGTGGTGTTGGCCAGCAAAAAAATGTCTCGCATAGTATTGAAATGTCACTTGGTTTCTAATTTGAGGGCTTACTTCTAGATCAGTTCTCCACTAGAGATTTTTATACAAACAAGCTAACAAAGAGCTTGTGAGCAGGGAAAATCTTACATGCCTTCTTGTGAAGCAAAATTGCACAGTAAGTTGCATGATTGCATGGCTATTTTCAAATAGGTTTTGCTTTTCTTCGTCCTGCCTAAAATCAAGTTTTCTAATCTAGACTTTGTAGTTCACTGGTTGACTCTTCCCTCACAAGGGCATTTTCTTTTTAATCTGTATATTGATGCTTAAAATCAAATGCTATTTTCAGGAATATCTTCTAGAAATACAGTGGGGAAGTTATGTTTCCCCACAGTATATATGTTTTGATTTCCCATTTCTGATCTGCACCAGAAGCTCTTTTGAGCTCTTTAAGCTCTTTTGAGCTTAAAACCAGACAGCTCAGTTCAGAGCCAGAACCAATAGAAAATCTGTCTTCTTAGGACACAGGACATTTCTGTTAAAAGTAAAATAATGCAAAGGCATTGAATAAATCTCACATTGTGAGAACAAAGCTTAAAAAAACCAAGCTGTTTTCTTACACTCACACTTCTATGAAAATTCTAAGTGAGGCTCAAAGCAAAGCCTCCTGTACTCAGGAGGCCCTAATGCACACACCTTATCGTCTGTGAAAGGCAATGGGAAGCTCCCGGCTGGGAATCAGCGTTCCTGAATGGAGCGTTTCCACCGGCTTGTTGTCAGTTGCTACAATCTGGTACTTGCGAATGAGCTGAAACACAAACATTTCAGTTAGCAGGCTTGGGCTCCTAGATCTTCTGATGAGGTCAAATGTTGAGCAACCAGGCATATATGTACAGAGTATTTACCCAGCAAAGGGCCAAGTGAAGCTGCAGCTCTGCTAAGCGGCGCCCGATGCACATCCTCTTCCCAATCCCAAATGGAACATGAGAAAAAGGATTTATTAAGTTCCTCTGAAACCAACGCTCTGGTTTAAATTGAGTCCAGCCATGAAAGTACTCTTCATTGCAACCCAGGGCATGGCTATTTATCATTAATACAGTCTATAAATAAAGCAACAGAGAGAGCCTCGTTACAAATTGGCTTAGAGCTACCCAAGTGAATCAGCTTGTTAATGGAAAAAAATAATACAACAGTAAAGGCAAGGCAGTTTCCTCAGAAGATGTCGTGTAATTCTCTGAAGAGTAATTCAAACACAGAAAAGGTCATGGTTTCCTCAGAAAATCATTGGAAAGTTTGAAAAGAAATTTTGAAATAGCACACCAAAATCTTTTTTTCTAAATCCAACAGCACTGCAGGCAGGAATGGTTTCCAGTTTATAGGAATTCTTGGTGTGATTTCCTTATTCCTTATCCTGGGACTTTTTGAGACTGAAATATCATAGTATCATAGAATGGTTTGGATAGGAAAGGACTCTAAAGATCACCAAGTTCCACACCCCAGCATGGGCAAGGACCAACTTCAGTGGTTTACAGAGCAGATAATGAACAGCAAAAAAACCTGGAAGCTAAATTAATTGACTTACCCCTTTGGGTAGTACATAATCCTCCAGAACCATTTCTGTGTCAATGGTGCGAGTGGTAAATGGCACTGATGGTGTTAATCTACAGTGAAAGAAACAAAATGGGTCACATTTCCAGCAGTTTTTGTTCCTGTATTTATCACAGTCTACGCTGAACAACAAAGTGAACAAAATTATACATACTAGAAGATTCCCCATTACACACCAACTGGTAAAAAACTTTGTGATTATTCTGCTTTTTGAAAATGATTTGAGAATCTACCTCATGGATTCTTTCAGACATGCTCTTAGGTAAGGCATATTCTTCAAACTCTCAGCACTTGGACTTTCATTAGCAGCCAAAACATTCTGTATTTCCTGGAAAAGCTTCTGCTGAACGGGTGGATTACGTGAAATGTTATACAAAGCCCACAGTAAACTATTGGCCGTCTGAAACAAACCAAAAAGAAATGTAAGACCTCAATTTTTGGTGACAGAAAGTTGTCAAAAGTCCAAAGCAACATTTTTTGGCTGGTCGCTGCTCTACGGTATTTTGTAAACCTAAGGGATTATGAGTTGCCCTCTAGGATTAATGAACAGAAGAGAGAATCTAGTGCTTTCAGGTAGAAATTCACTTGCATTTAGGCCAGAGAAGCAAGCACAAGATGATCTAAGTCTCAGAAGTTATGGGAGAAAGGAGGGAGTTGGAAGGATGCCAGCTTGAACAAGCTCTTGGAAAGGCAGGTTTACCGTTTCAACTCCAGCAATCTGGAGCTCTGTGATGGCAGCATACAGCTCCTTCTTGGAAAGCTGTCCCCCAGAATAGATGTCACACAGGAAATCCTCCTGAGGGTTTGCAGAGTGCTTTTCCAGTCGACAGTCGATTGAGTGCTTGGCTGAGGAGGGAGGAGCAGGAGGTAATGAATGGAAAGTCACCCAAAAAACTTTACAAATAAAAGCAAAGTTACATCTGACAAGAGGACACTGAGCTTTGCTCTTTTTTTTTCCCAAGTGATGAGCATTCTACTGAATAAATAATGGTATTTTCTCTTTTTAAACAAAGAACTTAGACACAAAAATAACTTCAGAACAGAAGGAGCTCCAGCAAACCATTAGGAATTATGCTCTCTTAAATTAGGAAAGGAAATCAGTGATGTGTTGAGTAAAATATTTAGCAAACAGAAATACAAGTGTGTAAAATTTATTATCTTGGATTTTCAAAGGGGATCAAGGTGTTAAATCAAAGTGACTTAGCACTCAGACTCCCTGCAGGGAAATTTAAGCCTTTGATTTACTTAGGGGAAGGCAAAAATAGATGCCAGATTTCTACATGCTTTTTTTTTTTTTTTTTTTTCAATAGAGAGGACAAGATTTTGCCCATCCTATCTAACGAATATCCCAGTTGTTAAGACCAGCTCCTGGTAAAGAGCTCTTCATGTCAAGTGAAGGTGTAAAACTGTTTTTTTCTGAACAAAACTGGTTTGAAGTGTCTCTCCTAAAACCCATAAACCAAGAAGCAATAAAATAAGTGCACATGTGGCTGCCATTACCAAAAGTCCTGAAGCATAAAGTACTCAAATGCCAAAGAGAAATATATCACTTAGCATTAAAAACATCGAAGTGCCAAAACCCTGTCTTAATCTTTGGCTATAACTGTCACTGAATAGCAAACTATTGAAAAACACAAACTTAGCTTCGTAGCAGGAGTTAGAGTAATTTTTCTAACCTTGAAGGCAAATTCATCTTGAACAGAAAGAAAATGTTGTCAAAAAGCCAAACTATATTTTATGATTTAAATTGCTTCTGGTTTTAAGACTTATGACTATATACCAGGTTGTTCAGAAATCCTGTAATTTCTATTTTTTTAGCTAACAGGCTTTTGTTGCATGTAAAATTCTTGTTTCTCACTAAACCAGCTCCCTTCGAGGGAGGTCCCTTTTCTCACTCATATATGTTGCATTTAAAGAGATTATACACTTTCTGCCTATTTCCTTTTATGACAGAATGAAGTGGACTCATGACATTACTGGCTCTTAAATTTCTGGGCCTTCCCTGGAGATTGGGTGTTGCCCCACAACCACACCTAAGTGGCAAAAAACAGTGCTCCCATGTTTGGAAGAGGTTTGTGGTTTGCTTGTGCAGCAAGGGTGTCTCAATCTGTGCTGAAGGCAGCAATTAACAGCAGCATAGGGCAGTAGCAAGTATGGAGAAACTTAATTCCACCAAGTAGGAAACAAAGACAAAAGGAAAAGAGAGAAATCATTTTTTAAACAATAACCTGTTTTAAATATATCATCCCATGCTTTAGTATGAGCTTGCCAGACTTTTGTGTTCAGACCCTTGTGAAGTTCCACGGGGGTCACCATCATCATTCCAAAAGTAGCCATCATCTGTGAAGCAGAAAGAGATTTTGAAATCTTTATTTAATCTATCTACTTGCAATCTCTGAGCAAAATTAGACTGGAAAGTAGGAGGCAATTTTCAGGAAGTTATGATTCTAGCAGATTTTCCATCCTGAAGAGAAAGGATGTGTCTCAACCTACTCAGATTGTATCCAGCTAAAAATTAGGGACAGCCATAGAGGATATGAAGCTTCTCCAGTGGGTGATTCATCCTATCTATTTTAGGCACCAGTTTTAGAATGGGACAAGCCACCCTTTGACAGTGCCTCTCCCTCCCTTGGCAACAGTGAAAGCTAAAAAACAAAGCTAGGCTAGATTCCTGTCTTTCAGGTGGCTAAAGTCAGGCAGATACATATCACTGGCGTCCAAGTTGCAGCAAAAGGCACAGCAGGTGTGCTTGCAGGAATGACTAATCTCCAAATTCAGCATATTTGCATAATCCCACACAACTCCAAGAGTCCCACCCAACAAACAGCAGTGTTGCACAACAGGTGTCTCAGAAGGAGAGGGAAGTCAACTAACCAACCTGACAACTCTATTTCCTGGATTACCGTGCTGTCCCTACAGTGCATTCCCCCTACACATGTTGGAATTCCATAATGGGATGGTTAGATGGTCAGTACTAGCACTGCATATCTAAGTGTCTCCTTGGATTTGCAAGGCTACCAATATACATGTAGCACAGAAGCTGGAGTTTCTTGTTTTGGGTGACCCCCATTTAAACTGGTAGCCTCTCATTAGTAGCAGGGGTACAAACTCACAACAGCCCCAGTAAAGACCCTTCCATACCGTTTTTACAGCCTTGATGAAGTTCAAACTTTCTTCTTCTACATCCTGCTGTAGGAGACCAAACCTCTTTCCATACAGCACCAGGCAGATACCTGTTGTTAAGCAATATTATAATTAAATTATATAAACAGAAGGGTGCATGGTGTCCACCATTTATTGTCATGGAATGGCTTGGATTATCCTTCTGAAAAATAGTGTCTATTCTATGATGCACACCTGTGAGAATAGTTCTTCAAAACACCTTATACACATTTGCCTCAGACCCAAGTAGCACTTCCTTTACAAATAGGAATCACCACTGATCCCCTCACATGAGCAACAGGTCATTCTGCCAGGCAGGGCTGGCATATTTGGCAAGTAAGCTATCAGGTAAAGCTACTGAAGAGAACTGAGTTGCAGGAAAACAGGACCTGAAGAGGCCATCTAGTCCAGCATCTCCTAGCCCTTCCCACAGCCAGCAACCACTTGTGAACACTGGCAGCATCCCACACTCCACCTGCATCCACCTCTTTCCACTTGCTCTTTTTTTAAAATGTATTTTTCCAAAGCTGTCACTTCCTATTTCTCCCTTTCCAAAAGCAGCCATCACCACTGACACTGGAAAAAAAACAAACCACTTTCAGGGACTCAGTCCACAGGTTACTGAAATGAGCCAGCCAAGAGCAGATAGGTCTGGCAGAGCTTGTTCACTTACACACTATACCCAACCATTCCTCCTTTTGGGAACCATGGATGCTGTTTCTTCTGCCCTAAGTCATTCCTGGCAGATGGTTCCTTAGTGCACTCTTACACATTTCTAAAGATGGAGGCTCCTGTCTTGGTTATTTATTCCAGCACTTCTCAATCTCAATTGAAACATTTTAAATGGGATTTTCCAACCCTTGTCTACAACAAATACTCCTTCACTCTTATTGGATAACATTATGGACAAAATTGGTCGTGTGCTATCTGATCCCACTCTAGGTAAATACATTGTGATTCCCCCAAGTTTTGGATTTATAAGCCACTATAATGACTATAATGTTTGATATATTTTTTTTATAAACCACACAGATAACCAGACAGAAGAGTCTGTGTTGCTGATGATGGATTTTGCACATGTACAGATAGTCCCCTGGCTTTTCTGCAACCCACTTTCTATGATATTGCAGTTGGTAGTTTGGAAATCATCACCCTACACATTCACCACTGATCATACTCTAACTGAAACACCATGGCAGGTACAAAATGCAGACCATTGTCAGGCAAGAAACCAACTCACTTTCAAATGACCATTTGTTGAATTCTGAATAGACATCTTCTATTTGTCCATTGTGGTTACAAATATCATCTATTCTGTGCATGAAGTCCTCCAGGACCTAAGCAGTGGAGAGGAGAGAGAAAGGAAGGGAATAAAATTGTATCAACTGATACAAATGCTGTGTAATATACATTTTCAACTGTCTTTTAAATAGAAAACAATCTTGCATAAGAGAGGAATACCTATGTTTCCTGCTCTGTGAACAAGATTCAATTTCCCCCTGTGATAAGGTATGTCTGGATTTTACATGACTCTCATGTTACCACTGCTTGTACTTCAGCAAACAGAGCTTTCCTCCACAGGGATGAAAGGCTTCAGTCTGACACTGGGATAGCACTGGAGTTTCACAAGAAAGGGGACTAAGCTGTTTATCACAGATGCTTTTCAAGCTCAATGAGGAACACACAGGTTAAGGTGTTCATAAGAACATAAGAGTGAAGGGGTAAAGGCAAATAACCCTGAATGCAGAAAAAGCAAGCAACAACTCTGTTTGCAGGAGCCCTTATCATTGTGGAATAGTCTTACTGTTCTGTGGAGACAATCTCAGCTACAGGTTTCTGGGTGGTCTCATGTTTGTTCAGACTGATAATCTGTTTGTACATAGCATTCCCTGAATGATTTTGGAGCATGAACTCATGGTTCTACCACTGTAGAGCAAATCAGCAGCTATCTAGGTAAACCATACCACTCGATCTGCTTTTATTTTCCAGCTTTCCGGAGGTCTGGGGCTAGAAGAAGTTTCCCAGAGTGCAGTACCTCATTGATCGTGGTCTCCAGCTTTGCAACTTCCTTGGGTTTCATTAATTTCTTTTGAAAGGCACTTCTAACCCTCTGCCAGTCCTTTCCTTCCCTAGATCGAATTAAAAAACAACAACAACAAAACAACAAACAAATCAAACAGGGAGAGACAAGCTTAAAGAAGAAAGAAAGAAGGAAAAAACCCCCCAACCCCGCGGCATGTGCTACAGGACACCTCGGACGCGCCTCATCGCGCCGACGGGCGCAAACTTGACTCCGCAGCCGCTTCCCGGGGCACTGGGGATGGAACCTGCTCCGGGGGCAGCTCCGGGGGCAGCTCCGGGGGCAGCTCCGGGGGCTGCTCCGGGGGCTGCTCCGCTCCACGGAGCGGCACCCGGGAGGGCGGCCGGGACCCGCGGAGCCGGGCGCGGTGG